TTTTTTTTTTGTATTCAATAAGTTCCAGTAATCTGTTTTTGTCTTCTTCACCGTTTGCCTTGATAATGGTTTCTTTAGCTTAACGTTTGTTTTGTACGAGTTTTCTGGACGGGTTAAATGTACGTGGTGTTTTGTATTATATTAGTTTGTGGATTTTAATTTTGTTGCAGATGTCGAAAGCTTTAGTCTCGGGGCCAGCTCGTATGCTGGCTATATATGGTGGTATTTCTGGGTTAGCTTATGTCGAGACGGACGGTTTTCGAAGAAGTGCTCCATTTATAACTGTCCTTCCGCTTTTAGTTCTTGGCTTCATGGCAATGTCGTTGACAATGAAATGGAAAACGAAGTACTTAACAGCTTCCTCATTTTTTGTTGAAGGTGACGCTTGGCTTTTTGATCTGAGCTTTTTGCTTCTGACTTTTGGTCGTATGTGGTTTTTACGATATGTGGAAATAAAGTTAAATGATTTCCAATACTAGCGGGACGATAAATGCTTGTTAATTGGTTGGCAAACGCGACAAAACCTGCTTAGCTTTTTGTACAAGTTGTTTTTTTTCTCGTCATTCAAAACCTAGGATTTTTTTCTGCCTGTTATTTCCAGAGGTAGTTAGTGCACTGTCTGTGCGTTCTTATGCTGCGGCTAGAAACACTCATGAGCCTTGTTGGCATCCTTTTTTTTGCTATTTTTTTCATCTGTGCTTTTTGTCACTGTTTCCCATTGCCTCTGAGACAATGAGTCTCTTTTAGCTTCGTTCGACCATATGTTACTTTAACCCTAAAACCTCACAGGTGGCTGTTGTAGGAGACAAGTTTGTTAGTGAGAGCCTCACGATTTTTCTTTAGTTACGGTCGTGCTCCTGGCTTTTTTATAATGAGCGATTTAGCGGGGCTTTGTTGCATTAGTATACGTTGGTGCTCGGTTTATGTGTAAATTGAGTGAATGATTGTTGGAGCCATGAAGGACGTTAGGAAGTATGTCATGAATTTGTAGAGTATACTTAAGGTATTCAAAGTCTGGTCATTTTTGTTTCTTATTGTTTTCTTTGATGTGCTCTACATCAAACAAGTCAATTAACACAGCAGTTTCATTTAAATCTTCTCTTTAAAAAGATAAAAGTTTTTTTTCAAAACTGTTGTAATTGATTGGGTTTTACATTTGAGTTTTTTGTTTCATTATTCAAATTTTGTTGGTGAAATTATAAAAAAAATTTCTCTTATAGTTGCACTATGAATTCTTCGATCTTCTTTTAGCTATTGGACGGTATCTCAAGTTGACCCATCGGAAAAACATTAACATTATTGCAACAGCTTTAAGTTGCTCGCGAGTTCTTTATCTTATGTCGTTCCTCCCCTGTGTTAAGAAGCTTTGGCATGGACTGGCGATCCTAGTAACTGTTTTTTATTGCGCTCTATTGTATTACTGTTTTGCGGATATATTTCGGTCTATACCAACCGCTGTTTTGTTTTTATCTATGGAAATCGCTTTGACATGCGCCTCAGTCGTTGCAGCAGGTTCAGTTTGGCATTATGGTTCTAAAAGGATAGATGCACAGCAAGCAAGTTTCATTTTCTCTTGAGATTTAATTTACAATTTTTTATTGGATACCTCAAACTTACCCATTTAGACCAATACTCATACAATCTACTGATTTGTAAAAACACTAACACATCATTTTTCACTCTTTCACTAAATTATTTCACACGCTTCAGTCCTGTGATTTTTAGGCTGCGTTCTTACGATTTATTGGACTTTTGATCTCGTTTTGCTCGACCAGTCTTTCAATTATAAACCAATTTGCCCAGCGACTGAACAAGACGGACTACATCGTTCCTATTGGACACTTTGTTGCGGAAGGATTGCTTTTTTTTGCGAATGAACGTGCGTTTTGACTGATTTTACGTTCAACCCTGCCAGGCATGAAGTTTAGGTTCAAGACAACTACTAAGTTGCAGTAGAAAAGTATGTTTTTTAGAGTGCAGTCTTCTGATTGAAGAAGTGTTCAATGTACTTCCTCCACTGTTGGCTGTAAAGTTCTGGTGCTTTTTTTAGGGCAGTAAGTAGTTAGCTGAAAACCAAGTTTTCTCAACTTCTCTTCCACTTTATAGTGGTTTGTTGCTTTGTAAAATGCTTACGACCTCGTAAGTTAGTTTTATGCTTCTGTGAAAATGAGGTTTTGTTTTGCTTTATTTTATTTTTTAGTTTTATTTGGTGACTCTCGAGTCACAAGGAAATCTTTAGGAATTTTAACAGTAGCTATTCTTTTACATATTCTTTCTGCCAAATAACAAGATAAACTGAAGAGGGGAATTAAAAGTGAGAAGGATGGCGTTGAACACTTAATTTTTTCATGATAAAAATTTTAGTGGTGGTTAGCACAACGGGCTATTAATACTTCCGGTAACTTCAAATTTGAGTTACCATGATGCGTAGGAAAAATATTTCATTTGTATGTGTCAGTAAGAAGTGAATTGTATAAAGTTGACTGTAGTTGTTAAAAATTGATGTCTAGTTCTTAATTGTATGTTCACGAGCTTATAAATTGTGCTTCGTTTAATGTAGACTTATTCATCTTGTTTTTGAGTCTTTATTGAGAACAGTGCCATACACTTTCATCACTGTCTTGGTTTTATTG